AACTAATTTCACTCAACAAAAATACTTTTGTAGTTACAATACTTACCATGCAAATCACATTTAATTCATAATTCTTCCATCTGTTATGAATTTTTAAAGTTTTTCGAACTTTTTGTCTACGCTTATTACTGTAGCTCGTCAGTTACTAACGAATGTACAGTATATTTCTGTAGACACGGCACTAATAGAAAAATTATTGAATTGATTTCCGAAAAAAAATTTATAAATATAACTTACGAAAACACTAAAATTTCTTAATACGGATGATAAAAAGAAATTACCGTTCTATAACAGCCCACCGTGAGATTAAAAGTATTATTGCTAATCATGCTGTCTTTGAAACCGTAAAAGATTCACTAATTTATTATTTAAAGTGATTTTCTATCAAAATGTTACATGTCTGTAACAAAATAATATTAAATTACATATGAATTAAAACTTTTTAATTATATCTTATATTCGAACTTGTAGATGATAATTTATATATTATAGTAAGTCAAATTTTAATTAAGTGTATATTTTAAATTTAAAAATATTAAGCATTGCAGTCCGGCATTGTTTCGATATCACAATAAACAATCTCTCGTTTTCGTATAAAGCATCTGTTAATTCAAGAGGGTACCTGTCAGACCTGCCATCATATACGGTGTATGCATTACACATTATTTGCCATTATGTAATCAATTACATTCGAATTGATTACATCATCTTAAATGCTCTGCATTGAGATTTGCCAGAGATTGTGCAATAATTAACGGCAATTAATAGCAATTAATTGTATTTTCCACTACGGACACATTATATTTGTAAATTTCACAAAGGAATAGATCATTTTAATTAGAAAATCGAATAAGTTTGTAAATTTACGAATCTGAATTTCAATGTCTGTGTGGTAAAGATACGTAAACCTGAAAAAAAATAGTCCCATTTGTAATACACAGCAAAGTTATATACATATTTTTACGTATACGATGTGGTCTGAATATTGTGAAAAAAACTAATATGAATTATTATGAATAATATTATAATTAATATTACTTTTTCTCATGGTGCAAGAATATTTTATGGTTTATGTATTTATATTATAATCATTTTTATATATTTTATTTCAGATGAAAGTTATATATATATATATAAGTTCTACATAATATGTTAATTTGAAAGAAAAGAACGAACTTTATAAAAACTTTTTAAAATGTGAATGTGCAAATTAAAAAAACAACTTGCATTATTTTTAATTTTCAAGGAGTTAAATGGTTAGTTAAATTAAATATAAAAAGTTTAAATTATAAAGTGATTACTAATAATTATCTCTTAGCTAATTTCAAAACTGTTTGTTATTTGCAATTCACAAATGTTATTTTATCGTATTGTTCTGCAGAGTCGCAAAATGAATTTCAATCTTGTAGACTTAAAGTTAGTTCTTCGCCTATTAAGCAATATACCGTACATTATAAGACGTTTCAATCTGTTATTTTTCATGAGAATCATCGATTGCCTTTGTCGTTCAGGTATTTAAATTTATAATTTGTGGGTTAAAGTACCATTTTTCTGAAATGTCTTTACTATGCTTCATTCTGTTTCTTCAATTTCCACACGGCCAATCTCATTATATATCTTTGTGTAGAGGAGTGAAAAGGTTAATGCATCATCTGAGATAAGAATCCGAGAAGTATATTATCTGAACAATAATTAAAATTGTTCTTTTGTTTGTTGTAACGATAAGGAACTTAAAACGTGTTTTAATGCAGTTAGAATGTGAAATTTTATGCAAAGAAATGGATAAATCAGGAAGAAGACATTAAATAATTGAAAAACATTTTCAGAAATTTCGAAATTTTTCTTTCTCACTTCGTAAACAGCTTACAGCTTTGATGTTAACCAACTTCCGAGTTTATGTATTGCATCTGCAAATGAACATAGTGCAATATCCTCCATCGTGACCGAATTCGAACAGTTTATGCAGTAACTATATTTTCCGCATCGTTTTAAATGTGTACAGCTATTTCTGTCCAACTCCACCTTTTAAATGTAAGAGAATTCAAGGCTCTGAAATTTTTTCAAAAGAAATCGGAATCAAATTTTTCTATTTGAATTAATTATTAAGATAAAATCGAAAGTGGTTTTAAAATATAAATTTAAAAAAAGTGTTTAAGAAAGAAGAAATGTCAATTGTGATTTTTATCAGAAAGCTTTGTGTAAAAATATACGACATTGTGTAGACTTATTCTTTTCCATGCTCTGCTGTGAAGACTGTATGGCTAGAATCAACACGATTCAGTATAGATATAAGAACGTTTATCATCCAAATTTCAAAAATTAGATACAGTTTTATATTCGACATTAAACTAATTAACCAACGTTAATATCTCTACATTTTACATAGCTTTAAAAGCCATAGGTAAAGGGACGTACAACTTTAGTTAGCTGATCTTTTACCATGCAATTTATTTTTTATTATCGAGATTACTAAAACACTTGTTAAAGCTGTTATTCTTTTAAACTCGCTGAATAATAAAACTACATCAAAACAATTTCGTGAATAAACAATTATCAAAGAACATACCTTAAACAGAAAAATAATTTATTTTTGTGCCATTTTATTTTAAAATACACAGGTTTATAACAGCTTGTTCATGACATCAAAAAAAAAATTTCAAAATACAATTCTTAGGCAAACACTGATCCTATGTGCTTATATCTTCTATTGCTTTTATCAGACGAAACAATAATTTGCTAAACATTAACGCTTTCAGAATAATTGTTATCGATTACACTAATATAGCCATAATTCTATTTTATTCCTAATTTCTTGTTTATATACGATATCCTTACATACCTGCATTTTCCTATTTCTTGATCTTTGTTATTCTTCATATTCAGTAAATATTTAGTCTCTTTTAAAAATTAATGTGTACACGATATGTTTTACCATCTGTTTCATAACGTTCTTCGTCTTCTTATTAAAACATTAAGCAATGAAAAGTTGTATGCCTTGTAAGTGAATGTTATCAATGTTCTAATTTTTAGAAGCAAAAAGCCAGGAAACCATAGATTTGTTTTCACGGAAATTATTTTATAGATAAAGTTATACATATTTATGTGTGTCATAACGTAAAAAAACACCATGAGTGTATGAAGTTACAATGGATTGAAGTTTCTATTAACATCAGCTGTAACGATTGATGCAGAACATTCAAATAACACGAAATTTATACAGAAGGAAAAGAAGATACAACAATCAAATTTGAGGAAATAATGTAAGTGGCTGTGTTGTTTGTTAATTAAATTACAATGTTATGATAGGACCTACAGTGAGTTGAACTAAATGTGTGGTTTTATGAATCGTGCATAAAAATTGACACGTTGCATATCTGTGCTCTTCAGGCAATTAAAGAGAGAAACTACAATGTCCTCAGCTCCGTTTTGCTCTATACGTTAAATAAACTACAATTGGGTAACAGATTTGCAAGTAAATGCAATATTATTGCATATGACAGTTTCGTAGTAAATTCTTAAGTACACACGAGAAGTCATTATTAGAAAACCGAAAGTAAATTTTCTCTTCTTTTAGGTCTAAATGTAATATCTAAATTATTTCCAAAATTTCCTACATGCAATCAACTCTTTGTGAGCACCAATAAATGCATTCAACCTGTCATTTCCATCATGAAGCGAGAGTCGGAAAGCTTAGTAACGTAAAGTTACTGATTCCTGTTACGAGATTAAAATATATCTTGGCTTAGAGAACAGAGCTTATATTAGCATAAGCTAATACCTCTGAGATCTAGTTCCAACAAATATAAAGATAGCATTATATAATACGTAAGATATGCGGCCTTTAAATAGGGCAGCTTCTCACAGAAAACGTAATTACAGTAGACTTCCATTATCCGGGATTATATAATGCGGATTCGTATATCGCGGCGAAAAAATTGCGACCATATTCGTATAAAGACACAAAAAGGCTTATAAAAGGCGGTAAAACGTCATCGCCGACTCGTGTCGCGACAGGATTGGTCGAATCTGGACCAATAGTGGACGAGCAGCCTAACTACTTACACACAGCAGAGAGTTTAGGCGGGTAAGTTGAGTTTACTGTCGTCTGTACAGTATATAGGCCTAAATTAGGTACTGTAAGTCTAATACTGTACTGTAATTTTATACATTTCTTGTGAAAAAAAAACCATTTCTTATTCAACGGCCATAAAAATTATTTCTATTAATGATGTCGCCAAAGTTCAACAAATTTTTCGCAGAAAAATAACTTATCACAAAATGCGCCAGCCGTTTGGTGCGCCGCTCCGCGACTAAAACAAGCTTAAGGAATGGCGTAGTCGAACGGTGCACACTCGGTAAGTAATCCTACAATTTTTTGTTACAGCATAGTTTATATGGATTGTTCCTCAAATATAATACGTGTTTTGGAAATGTCGAGTGAAATTAGTCTAGAATCGATTAATTTTATGAAAGAAAACCTTTCAAGCATCCGTAGTCCGTAAACTGCACACGTGTCGAGCTATGATTGGCTCATGTATTTAAGGACTCGTACAGCGTTAATTTCATAAAAAGTGGAACGTATCTACCGTGTTATAGGGGGGGGTCGACTCTANGTAGTCGAACGGTGCACACTCGGTAAGTAATCCTACAATTTTTTGTTACAGCATAGTTTATATGGATTGTTCCTCAAATATAATACGTGTTTTGGAAATGTCGAGTGAAATTAGTCTAGAATCGATTAATTTTATGAAAGAAAACCTTTCAAGCATCCGTAGTCCGTAAACTGCACACGTGTCGAGCTATGATTGGCTCATGTATTTAAGGACTCGTACAGCGTTAATTTCATAAAAAGTGGAACGTATCTACCGTGTTATAGGGGGGGTCGACTGTATACAGCAGAACTTTTACTTTATATAATTAATTATGTGTATTGTTCACAATAGTCGCAGATATTAACGAATTTTTCTTAACAGTTTAAATAGAAGCATAAAAATAGGCATTTAATTACTCGTAGTCGATACAGTTGAAGAATTACTTTGTTTCGACTTTTGCCTCATTTGCATATACATCAAGATGTAAGTCGTCAAGCCACTAGTTATCTGAAAAATGAAATAAACAAACGTTTACATAAATATTATTTTCATACGTTACATTTATCTATATTAATAATCATAAATTAACTAAGATTCCATTCCCAATTATAGAATATTTAAATATTGTTTCATACTATACCTGTGTTAATGTGTTATTAGAAACAACAAATATTCCTAAACAACTATAACCAATTCTTGATCCTTTCAGTCTTTCTAACGAAGTATTAATCTAAAAATATTAAATTTATCAATAAACTTGCGCATTTATATTTTTCTTTGCTATAATTAAATATTCCTTACTTGAAATATTTGACGTTTCGGAATTTCAAGAACTGGAACTTCACGTAAAATATAATCTAGATGGTGAGCCTGAAATGATTTGGGCATTTAGGCAACTCAAAATAAATGTATATTGTTTCGAACACTTACCTTGGAAGATAGTGCAGCGGCTTCTAAAGTAACGACCAGGACAATTACGCAGCACATTAACATATGAAAATACATAATATAGTTGTAGTTCGAGTATTCCGCTACAAAAATATTACAGAAAAGCAAAAATATAGTCGGAATGATGACAGAATAAACACAGAAAATGTATAACTTAAAGAATTCTTCGGCTGCTTCTATCATCTGTAGACATTTCAGATGGTGTCTCTGCACAGATTTTAGCATGTGGATCATTTCTGTATGATCGAAGAAAAATTGAAATTGCTGATTGGCTTCGTTCACTTTTCTTCTTATTATGGCAGTTACAAGCATGTAATAATAAACTGCAATTTGAATTATCACGCTTATGACAATAACATATGGTACGTAAATTACCATGAATGCAACACTAAACAATGAATTGTGTTGATATTTTAAATATATTATTTCTTTCTGATATTTGAAAACAAAAAAGGTTACAACTGCAATGTTAATTGTTAAAGAGATTACGAAAAGAAAAACCCATTCCAGCTTTTTAATGAAAGCATATTCAGAGTAGAAAGTAGGATTGATGCAATGAACAGTTTCAAGCATTAATTGTGTCAAGACATTCTGTAATTTATATACGGCACCCTTCCTGTTGTAAATGAGTAATGTGAACAGAGCAAATAGAACAAAATATAACTGTACTATGTAATAAATTTCTGTATTTATGATGTCAAACAAGTCTTCGTAATCATTAAATTTCTCTATTATGTTAGTTATTAAGTATACTGATAACCGGAATATATCGACGGTCACTATCCATAAAAAACCGATTTTAATACATCTTAATCTGCCACCGTCATCACCAATGAGGTAAAGAAATCTCATTACTCTGCGAGTATTCTTAATTAAGCATCTGAAGCAAACGTAGTTAAGTATTCCAGAATAATTTGGATGGCATTCGACGCATTGGGTTGTCTGCATTTTTTTCGTGAATGTTTTAATCGTTAATACAAAATATTGTTTATTAAGGTGTTAATCGAACGTAGTAAATAGTAATACTTACAGATTAAAAGCTTCGTGATATTTTAATAAAAATTTGTCAGTGTTATCGTGTGTCTAAATGTCTAACGATTTGTAATTTTTTAAACTTCTTCGTACACAATTTTACAGAGTTTTCAAAATTAAATATTGTGAATAATGTCAAGTTTCGAGTCATTTTGAGATATAGAACATAGAAATCACCAGATCCGAATAAATAGTGTTATACGCAATAAACCCTCTCATATAGAACAGTTACGTAAAAGCTTGACTGACTACGTCATATTTGTGATGCAAACCATAATATCTTCATTAGCAGAGATCTACGTAAAGCAATTTACTGTAGTTTATAGACATGACTCTGTTATAATGGATTTGTAATAGGTTTAATCTCTTTTCGTTAAGTGTTTCTATTGCTTTGCAAACAACCGAAGAAGGAAATCTGAAAATTTATTATTTTAAGATTACTTTCATGAATGAATTAATAAGCGATCGATTATTAATTTCACGAGGATTTTCATTCCGATTTGATTTAGGTTACAATCGATAGTTGTCTATCAGTTTTGTGATAGACTTTTCAGTATTTTTATATAAATTATTAGTTAAATGTTAAAATGAAATAGATTTACAAACAGGCACGTTGATAAAAAATAATATTATAAAATTATAAGAAAAAATTATGAATAAAATAAAACATANAGTAAAATTATTATAAATAATAAGCAATTAAATGATATGTTCGATAAATTTTATTAAGCATAAATATAACAATATGTTCAGCGCAGAAAACTAGTTTAAAAAATTAATGAAAAATTAACCCTCCATTACGAATTCCTTAAGGGGACCTTCTAGATTTTCTTGGCAAAGACCTCGCACGTATAAAAGACCGGCCTGATAACAGCCGGGAAAGTAAAACAAAGTGGTTATATTGTCTTGTTAAAGTATAATTCTTATTATTCCTAATTGTATAATTCCTAAATATATTACAGCATATTTTGGTGATGTGTAATAAAAGAAGACGTAGAAATTACATATTTTATTAATTCTAAAATTTATACCGCAATTTATTAACACATAAATAAATAAATAAATTATAACCCTTTCAACTTTTAGTGTCCGTTAAAAAAGGCCGCTCGTATACTCCAAACGTGCAGCATCGCAATGGCAACGGACGTGGTTGGTTGCTTTGACCTAAATTTTACGTACCGTGTTTCCCCGAAAATAAGACCTAGCACAAATTTTGCTGAATTGCGAAATATAAGACCTCCCCCTGAAAGTAAGACCTAGCGAAGTTTTTTTTTAGTCGTAACGGTCATTGACAGGTGGTTGACAGTGGCCGTTAGGTTTTTGAAAGTACAACCACTGATTGGTCAGCAGACAATTACGCCACACGGCATGATTTGCATAAGACTATGGCTTGGGAATCACAGATTTTCATAACGTTACGGCTGGTGATAGCTAATTGGTCCGCCGAGAACACGCCACATGACATTTACATAGTGCTACGGTTCAGTAAGCACTAATTGGTCATCGAGTCCGATGTTGACGCTATAAAAAGGCGACAGTTCGACACACCGGATATACGTCACTCTTGTCTAAGTTCGACTTGGGAATTTTTTTGTTCAATAAGAAATGTGAATTCTTCTTCCTGGAAAAAATAAGACATTCCCTGAAAATAAGACTTAGCGCATTTTTCAGAGCAAAAATTAATATAAGACACTGTCTTATTTTCGGGGAAACACGGTAATAAATTAATATTAGTTTTTGAATGTTAAAAAGCATCAAAAATTAACATCCAAATAGAAATCCAGAGTAAAAGTGTTTTAAAAGATAAGTATAATGAAGTTGGTATATCATATTTTCATCTACATTGGGCAGAACATTATCTCGAAATTCATTGTTTGGTGCAAGAATACGGGCAATGTGATAGATACATGCAAACTATTGGTGTCTACTCCACTCGAATGCGTCTATTTTATTCAAAAATACTCATATTTATAAATAAAATATTGTAACCTGATATTATATTTATTCTTATTTTATTTATTGTATCAGTTGTAAGCGAGGCGATAACTCACTTACACAGGATCCGACGTAGATAACGAATTTACAAGATTTTTAAAACTTTACGCTTCTTAAATTGATTTGTCCACACTGTTCATAAATTTGGCCAACCAAGTTAAAAATCTACGCTTGGACATTTATCCCGAACTCGGTAAAGTCGACCCATTTCAATTGTTATGTATATGAGCCGATGAGCGAGTCTAATATTCACTTTTCAAAGCGAACACTTCAGAAACAAATCTTCACCCGGATTTCGCCAACTCCCATCCCCGCCGTTAAGTGGGAAGGGAGAAAATTGCCAGCTAAACACACCAGAAAGTTGCGGTTTGTTTCGTTTGAACGAAAATGCAAGACATAGAACGTAAGTAAGACATGAAGAATGTTTAAACGTGATAATTATTAAAATTTATTGAGAATAAAAAATAAATAATACATCTTTAATAACAGAATTTATTATAATAATTAAAAAAATGATTTTANGACCCATCAGTTACTGCGTCACTTCGAAAAATGACCTTAGAAACGTCTTGGAAGTTCTCTCCTCACAAGAGGAGATTATTTATTTCCACTTTAGTTACAAGGTACAAATAAGTAGCCAATTAACAAGAACCTTTAGCGGTTACATGCTAGAGGGGAGCAAGGAGGTCAACTACAAGGGTAGACTGTACGATTGAGAAAATATATCAAATTACCGACGATGGTCGGTTATCATCCGAGTGATGCTTGTTTCATTGTCGGCGGTCGGGTCGGTGCAGCGGCGGTGGATTCGTCGACGTTGTGACTCTAGCCGCCTGCGGCCATTAATTTAAAAAAGTGGTAACTTTCTCACGTACAAAATCAAAAGAACCGTTCGATTAACGTAAACAACACTAGCCGCAAAGGCGATTGCATCAGATTTTCCCCAAATAATTCTCACTCCGGGACGGGTATAAAAAGGGATCGCACTTGCACTTCCGGACGGACACATCAACGGCGGACAGCCGAAGCGGACATAGCCAGGCAGACATCAAGGAGACATCAGATCCATACCGCTATTCCGTCCGCCATAGTCTCTCTGACCTGAAGAGACTACGATTAGGAACCGCCGATCCCAGAGCGTTTTACCAACGCTCAATACGACGAGATCGAATCCCATGATGTAAACCCTTGACAGAATTTCTTTTCTCTCTCTCTCCGACACGTCCCTCTTAGAGAGGTTTCTGCGTTTCTTAGTTTGACATCAGGAAAAGAACGTTGGCGTTACATTGGGAAGACGAATCATTGGAAAGACGAATCATAGACTGACAGATAGCTGAATATATTAGCGTGGTATATCCAAATTTCCAATCCCGGATACTATGTTTGAATAACAATTCTGATACACCAAAAGAATTTAGTACTTTATTTAATTCATTTCGCCAAAGTTGTATAGATGTTGGTTTTTTGCTGCTTTTAATTATTTCCTTATGTAAAAAGCTGATATTACTGTCACTTTCAAATTTTAAACGGTAATAGAATTTAATGATTCGTTTTATAAAGAATAGAACAGTTCTTTCTAAATGAAATAGTCTGCGGAGGAAATAAATATGGAAAGATTCTAGTTTATACATGTTGTCAAGTCTCCAGATTGGAGATGCGTAGTATATGATTGGATTAATAATTGAATTATAGAGCTTCATATGGATAGTTAAGTTGGAAATTTTTTATTTAGAATATAGGCCCTAAATATAACAGATTATCTATGACAAGTTTTACCTTGCTGTCTAAGTATGAGAGATGTGATTTAAATGTATCGTTCCAGTCGAATACAACACCCAAATAATTAATTTCTTTTACTGTCTGCAGTGGATTATTATCTAGGTATAGCATAGTTTCTTTTTTGGAGATTCTACTATTGTTACGGAATATAAGAACTTCAGTTTTGGCAAAGTTTATAATTAAGTGAATTGATATAAGATAAGAATTTAACTGATTAATTTTTCTTTGTATTGAAAGACAGCAAGGTCAATCCGCAAATAACACATAGTGGAAAACTCTGTCACCAATTTCTATCCCGTCTGAACGATCTTGAAAGATTTGATCGATTTCAAGTAAATACAAGTTGAATACTTCAAGGTGACAGGGGGTCACCCTGAAGTATTCCTCGTGTTAATGTTAATGGTTAAGAAACAGATTTTCCCTGTTTAATAGTTGCGTTATACACGTAAGTTGATAATAGCTTAAATATTGTAGTAGCAAATTGGTTTCCTGATTTTTTAGCTTTTAACTTATGCACTAATAGCGGAACATTAACAGAATAGAAGGCTTTTTGAATATTAATAAAAGCTATA